AGCCCCTGGATCAGTAGTGACAGTGTTCCCTGCCCAGCCCCATGTGGGACCTAGACCTGAACAATTGGGAAATGCTCAAGAGAGGGTCCGTGGGAGCACAAGGCAGGTGTCACCCTGGTATATCCCTGCTGATGCTGGGGCCCTGGCTGGCTTGTGTTGGGGTCTTGGCATTGGGGTATGAGTGAGGTGGGTGTGCTAAGCAGGGGGAAAGGTGTGTGCAAAGGCTTTGAGGCTGCCCTGCCCCCAGCTCAGCCTGGCTGGGGCTCCCAGGATTGTAGGGCTGTGGCCAGGGGCTGAGGCCTTCCGGCTGGCCGCTCATTAAGAGAGGATTAGGCCGGGAGCCAGGGGGCCAGCCCAGCCCCTGGGCCTTCCTCTGGGGCCCCTTGCGGCTTTAGGGGAGTGATAAAAGGGCTGGGGGCCACTCCTCCCTAGAGCCCACGGTGGGTGTCAGTGGCTCTCTGAACCCTGCCACTCTTGCTGCTGCTACCGCTACCATCTCCTTGTCCACCTCAGTTTCCCTCCTCAGAAGGGCAGGAAGATGGAAGCACTGACAAAGACCCTGGCCAGCACCCCCAACCCCGCCCCTAATCTCATTTCTCTCAGCTCAGGGATTAGGGCTGCACTAGCCCACATGAGGTCAGAGGTCAGGGCTGGGCTGTAGGGACCTGTCTGTCACCCCCCAGTACCCAAGCACAGCCAGAGGAGGTGACGCTGTCAGTCAGGGCCTGCTGCTTTGTGGGGCTGTAACCAAGGGGGTGGGGTGCCCACCTCTGCTCCAAGACCCCGCTTTTTGCAGCAGCCTCTGCCTCACTAGCAACAGGCCTGGTGTCCTAGAGACAGGCAGCAGGGGTCAGGGGCCGCCCACGTGGGATCTGCAGGTGAGGGCCATGGACACGCCTCCTCAGTGCTGTCCTCGCCCACCACTTCCTTAAAGTAAGGCATCATCAGCTGCTTCCCAGAGATGAGGAAACGGAGACCCCCCAGGATTAAGCCCCCTATGTGCTGAGATTGTTCCTGCCTCTGGACCTTTGCCAGGCCATTCTGGGCCAGGACTGTGAGTGTCTAATGGCCATGGGGAGTGCTAGAGGCTGGGAACGGCTGCGGAAATGAGATGTCTGATGCCAGAAAGGGCTCTTCCTTCCCGTTGACGGGAAAAGCCTTCCCGGATGTCACCCCACCCAACCTGTGCCCAGCCTTGGTGAGGGTGTGGGGGTGGGGAGCCTTTCCCAGGAAGCTTCACTCAGGCATCCATCCTCCCTCTCCAAGGTCAAAGCTTATCCAGACTTGACTCCCAACACCCACAGAACCCTTGATTGCTCCCCAGCCCCTCCCTCAGTATTACCAGGGGAGGGAGGAGGAGTGACACTCCTGCTACCAGAACTGGCACTTGGACAAGTGGAGCAGAGGTGGGGACTGGCCTGAGGACATGTCCAGGCTGGGTCCACATCAGCCCTGACACACACACACACTGATGCCCCTCAGGCCCCCAGGTCCTTGGCCCAAATCCCTGCTCCTTAGCGGGGCTGGGGGCCAGTAGGATCTAGTCCTGCTGACGCTGCAGGTGTCAGAGCAGGATACCAGGGCTCCTTGACCACCCCCTGTCCTGCCCCTGGCTTTTTGGAGAAATGAAGGCCACCAATTCCTTTGCCCTGTGGCAGGGGCAGGGAAGGACACCAGTTTTATTCCTCACTCTGTGACCTGAGGGCCTCAGTCTTCCTGTCTGGAGCTGGGGATGCAGGGCTGACCTGGGGGCCCTTGTTTGAATTCTTTCCTACTATCCAGCATGAGTGAGATAAGCACTCCAGCCATGGGTTGATAAGGCTAGAGCCCTACACCCAATTCACTCTGGGACCCTGAAAAACTTCTACCCTTCTCCACCTCAGTTTCCCCTCTGTAGGCTGGGTTTGGATGGATTATTCGGGGTTTAGCTCTGCTAAACCTGCTAAACGCAACCTGTGGGTTGGGGATAAGTCAACAGGAAGCTCCTTCCTACCCCATTGCCCTCTCTGCTCCCCACCACAGCCCTAGGAAATGGGGTAACAGGGATGGGACTGAGGGTGGATGTCTCCAAGAGATGGTGATATCTGGGAGCCTGCTTCCGTGAGGAAAGAACTTGGGACCCCATCCCACTCTCCTCTCCCCCCATATCAGAAACAGCTCATGAAGGATGGGTGGGGGAGGACCCAAGGAATTCTCAGCTGTCAGCATTTCCCTGAAAGCAGAGCAGGACCCCCACCCCAGGATCACCTTCAATGTCAGTACTGGGGGGGTACTGAGGCTCAGAGAGCCAGAGTGCCCCAGCTGGGGTCATGAAGTCCACGCCAGAGCCAAAGATTCCTAACCCTTGTTCCCACCCCTTCCCCGCCCCCGCCACAGTTTCCATAGTGACCGAAACATCACGTCCTGTGACAACAGAGCCATTGACGCCATATCCCGTGGTCACTGGGAGGGATCCCGAGGGTCCTGAGTCATGTGCCCTGTTGATGGAGGGCGAGTCACCTTCCGGCACTGGCCCTCCCAGTGGGCAGTCCCCACCACCAGGACCAGCTTTGCCTGGGCCTGTCCCTCCTTCAGCCCAAAAGGCCCTGGACCTGGGTGGGAGTCCCACCCCCCATGCACTCTGGCATGTCACTTCCCTTCTCTGTGCCTCGATGTCCTCATCTGTAAATTGGAACACAGGGCTTTGCACCTAGTAGATGCTTGATGACGAAGTGAGAGGCTCCCTCCATCACCACCTCTACCCGAGGGGTAGGGGACACGGAGGCTTGAGAGATAGGGTGTCGTATCAAGGCTAGTCTGCTCCCCATGTAGGTGTCAGTTTCCTGATCTGCTGAATCGTCTCCCTCTTGCCTTTCTCCTAGAATGGGATGGAGCCTGGAGTGCTGGGGCTTTGAGCTGGGGGAAGGCACTGGGAGTCATGGCATGGCAGAGGGGGAGGGTCTGGATTATAGAGGCCCAAGGCTGGGCAGGGATTATGGCTGGTTGCATTCCTGGGACTCAATGTTTGGAGCTTCCCCCCACCCCAGGTGCCTGTGTCTGAAGGTGCCCACTTGAGCCTCTGCCTCCCTCCCCTCTTTGCCCTCCGAATGCCCCTAGCCCAGCAAGACGGGTAAGGGCACAACCAAGGCCATGCCCCCAGCCAGGGTATAAATAACCCCTGGCGGGCTGTCCCAGCCTGGGGGGGCTCCGCTGGCCGCCCCACTTCCTCTCTGGCCACTTCCTGGCCCTAGGGGTAGGGGAGTGTTTACTTTCCTGTTGTCACTATGGTTGGGTGGCCAGGCGGGGGACTCCGAGTGGCCCAACAACAGGTGCAGGACAGGTGCGCAGACTGCCCTACTCAGGACTTCAGAGGCACCGCCGGACAGGCGGGTGAGGCCGTAGCCAGGCAGGGATCGGCCCTTTGATCCCTCGGCGTCCCTGCATCCCAGCAGTTGGCCAAGGTCATCACCTGTATTCTCTTGACATGTAGTCAGGGCTGCGCAGGGCAAGGCCTTTGCTTAACCCCCAGCCCCTCAGATGTGGGCTGTGGGTCTGCTGTGGGAGTCCCCTGGCTCCCAGCCCACCTCACACACCCATCTCTGCACATCCTGGAGCTCTCATCCAAAGCTGCTCTCAGGCACAGCCCCTCCAGCTCCGCTCCAGGGTCCCCAGCACACAGCAGGGATCAGGGTCGGCCAGGCCAGTTGGAGACAGCTGCCTGAGTGGAGGGTGACCTTGATTGATAGGATGGGGCCACCTGCTGATCCCACCTTCAGGCAACGTCTAGGGCCTCAGATCCCAGCTGCTCTCCCTCTCCAGGCCTCCCTGTTGATTGTCCCACCTGTGAAATGGGTTACCACCTGTGGAATGGGTTGCCACCTGTGGGGCGGGGAGATGGAATGTGGATGATCCCCTTGGTGAATGCCTCATCTGGTGCAGGACACGTGTGTGCATACATAGGCCATGTGCATACATGCATGTGCTCTTCTGTGTGCTGCCATCTCAAGCCTCCTGTGCTAGTGAATATTCATCAGCCTCATTACAATCTTCCCCCTCTTGCTGAGCTAAAAATAGCTGGTGGTGGGTGGAGGAAGGGCTTACCACGGGGACCCCTTGGCTCTCCCCCCTCTGGGAGGAAGGCTCCCGTGCTTCTTGGAGTCCTATATCTGTCATTGGCCTTTCACCTGCTAAGTTCCCTCCTGTCCTTCATCCCCAGGAAGGAGGATTTTTCCTCAGGCTCCTGGGGCTGGGAAGGCCAAGGCTGCTAGACTCACACAAAAGAGAAACTGAGGACTCAACTGGACCCTGCCCCCAGCCCCAGGATGCTGCAGCGCTAGGGCTGGGGAGGGTCTCTCTCCTGGGAAAGTTCCTGGCTAGATCAAAGTGGCCCAAGAATTCCACTGTTAGCAGACCCTCTGTGGGGTCTGGGGGATGCCCAAAGTCTGTTGGGCCAGTATGGCTCTAGCAGGGCTTTCCAGCATCCTGGCTAACCTGCTTCAGACAAGGTGGGACCTTGCTGTGCGCCAGCTTTGCCCTCTGTCTGGTGAGCAGCTGGGGTGACGGCAGGGCCTCCTGCCTCAGCCTCCTGGCTCTGTGCCAGCGTCTGCAGTCTGTCCTGGGTGTACCTGCCACCCACCCCCCTGCTCGTTAACCCTTTTAGGCCCCTGTGTGAAGCTGGCCCCACCCTGTGCATTGGAGCATTAAGCCCCCACCTGAGCAAAGACTCTTTGATGCTGTTGCACGCCCTGGCCATGCCCACTGCCCTTTCATTGGGCCCCAGAGACCGGCTGGGGCTGCCGATGAATCAGGGCTTTAGCTTCGAGTGTGGCCCCTTCCCTGGCCTGCCCGCCTGTCCCATTTTCTCCTCCCAGCATGTCAGGGACTAGAGGGAGCTAAGTAGGCTCTGGAGGGGAAGCTGGGGGTTTAAGACAACTGTGTGGTGGGGGTCTCCCTTCTATCAAAGGGGGTATGGCTAGATGGTCTCCAAGGGTCCCAACTGCTGCCCTGCCCTCTGCCCACAGAGCTTAAGGCCACAGGCACTGCCCACTTCTTCAACTTCCTGCTCAACACAACTGACTACCGAATCCTACTCAAGGACGAGGACCATGACCGCATGTACGTGGGCAGCAAGGACTACGTGTTGTCCCTGGACCTGCACGATATCAACCGCGAGCCTCTCATTGTAAGGGCCAGCCCAGATGTGGGGCGGGGGATGAGGGAAATGGGGCCCCGGGGCTGGTGGCCCTGTCAAGTAGGCTGTACGCTCTGACCCCTGTCTCTGCAGATCCATTGGGCAGCCTCCCCACAGCGCATTGAGGAGTGTATGCTCTCAGGCAAGGATGGCAACGTGAGTGCGGTGGGGTCCACAAGTGGGATGGGGGCCTGGGAGGGGGGCAGGTGACCCCAGGGCAGCAGTGGGGCCAGGCAGGCACCTGGGCACCTCTTTGGCTTTCCCTCTGGCCCCAGGGTGAGTGCGGGAACTTTGTCAGACTCATCCAGCCCTGGAACCGCACACACCTGTACGTGTGTGGGACCGGCGCCTACAACCCCATGTGCACCTATGTAAACCGCGGCCGCCGTGCCCAGGTAAGCCCACCCACCCTGACCCTGTGCTGTCCCCATTAGTAGCTACATTTCAGGGTTATCACTGATGGGAGGATGGGCTTGAGCCCCAACCCTGCCACTTCCCAGCCCTGTGACCTTGGGTGAGTGACTTCTTTCACCTCTCAGAGCCTCTGTTTCATCACCTGAAAGTGGGGCTAACAGCTGCCTTTCTCACAAGTTGGTGTGAGGAGGAGGCAGTGAGCTAACGCTCCCAAAGCTCTTAGCACTGTGCCTGGCACGTAGTAAGCACTCGCTCCATATGTGGCAATAGTTCTCTTGGCTACGCCTGTGGACCTTGCCCCTGCAGCCAAGCCAAGGGGCCTGGTGGGGGCCTCAGCCTCAGAAGACTGGATGCCTGGGTCAGCTTCTGCCCCACGGCCTTGTGGAGAGCTGCCTCTTCCCCAGCTCTGCCCCACCCTGCCCGCTTCTGCCTTTTTCCATTTCCATGTGGGCATGTGTATGAGCTGGTGTAACCTTGTAGGGCATGTGTGAGAGTGATTGGATCGAAGGGGCACGTGTGTGCAAGCATGCACCAAGCTGTGGGTGTGTGCCCCACACAGGTGCATATGTCTACTCTGGGGGCCCAGGTGCTCACGTGTGTGCCTCGTATGTGTGGTGTGAGAGGCTGGCAGCCCAAGTCCACTCCCCCAGCCCCTGCCACACCTGGCTCTAACCCCTGTTCCTCATCTTCTCAGGCCACATCCTGGACCCAAATGCAGGTGGTCAGAGGTCGAGGCAGCAGAGCCACGGATGGTGCCCTTCGCCCGACGCCCACAGCCCCACGCCAGGTGGGCCTCATCCCGCCAGGCCCTCCAGGCAGCACTGCCAGCCAGGAACCTGCACCCAGGCCAGCCTCCCCAGGGTCTTCCCTCTGTCTCTGGGCCCCCTACCTGCCCCTTTCCCTGCAATGCCCTCAGGCTCTGAAGGCATTCCCTGCTGGATTCATGTCAGCCTCAGTGTGACCCCTGCAGGCAAGAAATCATGAAGCCACCAGGTGGGGAAGACAGGAATTTCTGAGGACAGCCATGCCTCAGCCTCAGAACACGTGTGTGTAGACACATAAGTACACACCAACACATACTAGGGCGCATGTTGTGCACTCTCACACCCACACCTTACTTAGCACCGAGAGTGGGAACATGGCACATGTGTGCAGTCTGACACATTACTTTCAGGTGCCCATGGCCCATGCCTCCCATGGGTCATCGGTTGACACAGGTGTCCTGCACACTCACGTGCTTGGGGCTCTCTTCCCCTGGGGTGGGAGGGACAGAGCTGTCTGTCCACTAGTCATGACCCAGGACTGGGCTGGGGGGGCTGGGGCTGCCAGTGAATGATAGAGCAAGTGGACACTTGAGCATGAGTGTCTGTGGAAGGGAGTGCTGAAAAGTGGGACCATTCAGACTCTGCATGTGTGTGCCCAGGGCGTGAACAGTGGATTCCGTGTGCTGCCAGTAATGTGTGCCACGCTGTGTGTGCAGCCCCATGTGTGCAGGAAGTCACGTGTGCAGAGTGGAACTGGAAGCGGGCCTGTGTACACCTTCCCATCTCCATCCCTGCCACCTGCTGCCACCTCCTTCCTGCCACTGTGCCTCTCTCCTTTCCGTCCCTTCTCCCCACAAGCTCACCCTGGCCCCAGTGCCTCCACCACCCTTCTTCCTGGCGTCTTCAGGGCTGGGCTGGGAGGCATGGGGGGCTTTGTGAATTCCATGTGGTCTGGGCTGGACCCCTCAACTCCTGGCTCTCTAGGGAGACGCGTGGAGCTGGGGGCTCTGCTAAGGGGCAGGAAAAAGGCCATGGCCTATTAGTCTGTCCTGAGGACCACAGGTAGGGCACAAAGCCTGGGACATAGTGACTTCAGAGCCCTCTGGCCTGGTGGGACCTTATGGCAAAGGACAGGATCCCAGACCCTGAACAGTACCCTCTGCCCTGGTCAGGTTGGCAGCCCCTTCTTGGCCCAGGACAGGCAGCCACAGCTCAGAGTTGTGCTTCTGTGGCCCAAGGGGGCCCTGGTCAGAGTCTTCCTGAACCAGTTGGCATGGAGGGGCTTCAGCCCTTATAAGTCCACCCCATGCCCCTCTCAAGGCCCCCAAAGCAGAGCCCTCTGAGGATCAGAAAACCCCTCCCTTGGAACTCGCAGCATGGCCCTGCCCTGGGAGCCTGGCTAGACAGAGTTAAAACCCAAAGAGATCTGGGGAATGAAGGGAGGTCGCTTCAGGGTGTCCCTGGGGGCTCGCTCTCAGCCTGGGAGCCTGATGACCTTTGTCCTTCCTGGCTGTGGAACTGGCTTGGATGATGCTAAGCCCCCCTCTGCCCTGCAGGATTACATCTTCTATCTGGAGCCTGAGAAACTCGAGTCAGGGAAGGGCAAGTGTCCGTACGACCCCAAGCTGGACACAGCCTCAGCCCTCATCAGTGAGTGCCGCCCCACCCCCATTCTATAGCCTGAATGTGTGGCCTCTGCCTCTGGAGTGGGGGCATGGCACCAACACTTACCCCAGGGCAGAGATAGTGAACGTGCCGTTCCTGAACCCTTCCAGTGAGGCCCCACCTGGCAGGGAGAGAAGTACAGAGCAGACCCCAGTGTGAGCTGAGGGGCGGAAACTAGGTGGTGTAAGCCTCCATCCACCCCCTCAGATGGGGGTGCCAAGGGGGCGAGAGCCTACCCTGAAATCCACAGTAAGGCTCATGCAAGGGCCAGAACCCTCCCACCACAGGCTGCCTGGAAGAGAAGACAGGCCAAGTCTGTATTGTGGGTAGTATAAGGGGGGTGGTCCCATAGCATGTTCTTGGTTTGTCTAGGAGGCTGGGAGAAGCCCACAAGGAAGCACCAGTGGAGAGTCCTGGCCCTGTGACCAGCTGGGGGGAGTTTGTTTCTGGTCTGGTCACGTGTCTGGGAGAGTTGGGAGAATGTTCTCTGTGGAGGGATCCTACTTGTGGCCTCTGGATTAGCTGCTGCCCTTGCCCCTAGGTTGGGGCACCATTGACCCTGGTCCTGGCACTCTGCCTGTTTTCTGGCTGCCCAACCCAGTCTGCCTCTCAGAGCAGCTGCAGGGCGCTGTGCTACCTCCAAGCCTGGAAAAGGCCCTGGGGCAGAGGGTGGGCATTATCCTCCCCCTCTTCATGAGTGATAAGGTCCTAGCCTGATGGCAGAGTCTAGACCAGAGAGTCTGATGGGGGGAGACCAGGCCTGCCCTCGGGGAGTCTGGAGGGAAGACATGAATGGAGTGCTGGAGCCAGCATGGTTGTTAAATTTTCAGGTATTTTGTTATTAAAAATTAAATTCTGGAGCCGGCCCCGTGGCATAGCGGTTAAGTGTGTGAGCTCCGCTGCTGGTGGCCCAGGTTCGGATCCCGGGCGCGCACTGAGCACCGCTTGTCACGCCATGCTGTGGTGGTGTCCCACATAAAATGGAGGAAGATCAGCATGGATGTTAGCTCAGGGCCAGTCTTCCCAAGCAAAAAGAGGAGGATTGGCATTGATGTTAGCTCAGGGCTGATCTCCCTCACAAAATAAAAAAAAAATTAAATTCTATAAACTTACAATTCAATAAATTACTTTAAAAACAAAGGTAAAGAGACTCAAAACTCATTACTTTCTAATTATTTTACTACTATTTTATTATTATCTATGCCCTTGAGGTTGTTGACATCTATTGTATCTGTGGGGTGGAAATACTATACTGTTGGCAGCTCTTCCCAGCTCCACTTTCAGTGACCTCAGGTCAGTAGCCTGAGATCAGCCACGGTGGGAGTATTTACACCACAGACATTGGCTCTTGCTGCTAGTCAGAGCTAATTGCTATGAATCCAAATCCTCCCAGAGCCGGTTGTTAAACATTTACCAGCATCCCACTGGCAATACGATCATGCCCTGGGGAGCCTGAGGGGGAGACAGGACCCTGCCTTGGTGGTCATTTGGGCTGTGCCATGGTCCTAGCAAAGGGTGGTCCCCCTGACTGACCCACTGGCCCACCCACAGACGAGGAGCTCTATGCTGGTGTGTACATCGACTTCATGGGCACTGACGCAGCCATCTTCCGCACACTTGGAAAGCAGACGGCCATGCGCACAGATCAGTACAACTCCCGGTGGCTCAATGGTGAGCGCAGCCTGCAAGACCTTCGGTGGGCAGCATGTCTGGGATGCAGCAAGGGGATCATAAAGAAGCTCTCATGGGGGAATTTTGGGCCCTATGACTGGCTGGAGCAGTGATAAGTTTCTTGTCTGGGGAGGAGTTAGGAGTGTTCCTGTATCTGGCTGGGGATTCTGTTGGGGAAAGAGGCATTGTCGGAGGAGGGCTCGCCCAGTTAACCCCTGCCCACCTGCAGACCCTTCATTCATCCATGCTGAGCTCATCCCTGACAGCGCTGAGCGCAATGACGACAAGCTATACTTCTTCTTCCGCGAGCGGTCAGCAGAGGCGCCGCAGAGCCCTGCTGTGTACGCCCGCATTGGGCGGATCTGCCTGGTAAGCACTGGCAGGGCCCCCATGCTGCCCCCTTTCCAGACCCATTCCTCGCTCTATCAGTCCTGCTCCAGCAGGGGCTTGGGGGTGAGTGAGCTGATCTGACCTGGCTCCCTGCCCCCTGCCCCCTAGAATGATGACGGTGGCCACTGCTGCCTGGTCAACAAGTGGAGCACGTTCCTGAAGGCACGGCTGGTCTGCTCTGTGCCAGGCGAGGATGGCATTGAGACTCACTTCGATGAGCTCCGTGAGTACCCAGCAGGCAGGTGGGGTGCTGTGGCTACTGTGGGAGGGATGGAGTCTGGAAGGGTGGTCAGGGTGCCTTTGGTGGGCCCCCTGGACAGGAGTGGGCAGGGCCTTGGGGTTCCTGGCTAACGTACCCTCCCAGCGTCTTCTCCCTCTGTCCCCAGAGGATGTGTTTGTCCAGCAGACCCAGGATGTGAGGAACCCAGTCATTTACGCTGTCTTTACCTCCTCGGGGTGAGGCTGGGGCTGGGGCCAGCAGTGGCGGGGTGTGGCTGGGTTGGGGGCTGTGACACGTGGAGGACCCCAGCCTGATGGCAAGCTGTGGGGTGGGGGCAAGCTGGAGAGGGGCCCTGGGCCGAGGGTCTGCCCCGCTCATAGCAGTAGCCTGCCCTGCCCACAGCAGTGTGTTCCGAGGCTCCGCTGTATGCGTCTACTCCATGGCTGACGTTCGCATGGTCTTCAATGGGCCTTTTGCCCACAAAGAGGGCCCCAACTACCAGTGGATGCCCTTCTCGGGGAAGATGCCGTACCCACGGCCTGGCACGGTGAGGACCCCACTCACTCCACCTCTGTCTTTTCTCTCCTTCTATGAGGCCTGGTCTGGGCCAGGCCCTTTGCAGATGTGGGCCCCACCATCATGGAGCTCACAACCATGTTGGGGAGGTGGACCATACACACATATAATTCCGCCATTTACCCTCAATAAAGCTGAAATTTAAAAAACAAAAACAAAAAACACCATTTACACACAGGGTCAGGCTGTGAAGGAACCCAGCCAGGATCCTGAAACAAAGGTGGTGGGCCCAGAGTGGCAGGCTGCTCCCTCGGGGGGGCTGTTTGGGAGCTGAAAGTTGGAGGGAAGAGTCTTCACAGAAGAGCTGTGGGGCAGGCTGGAGGTCAGCATAGCTGGCTAACAGTAGGCAAGGAGGTGGGGGGTGGGCAGGGCAGGGTGGGAGGCAATCCACTTGATCTTGGTGTGACATGGGCCACTGCAGGGGTAAGCAGGAAAGCAATGTGATCTGATCAAATGCAGTGGGCAGTTACAACTTCATGTGGTCAGGGCTGGGAGGGGGCAGGTGGTCTCAGCAGAGGTAGGGAAGGCTTCCCCCCAGATATGAACTTGGAAGCTGGAAGAGTGGGCTAGTGTTAGGCTGGCAGGGGTGGGGAACAGGCAGAGGGAACAGCATCAGGGAAGAGGGAGAGCATGCCTAGGGTGTTAAAGGAACTCAGGGCCTGCAGTCCACCTGAGCAGGGGTGGGGGAGGAGACAACAGGGTGGGGATGAGGACATGGAAAGGGAGTGGTCAGCTCTGCCAAGCCCTGCCACAAGGTGATAGCACCTGAGGCCAGGGAAGTGGCCGTGGTGTTTGGCTATGTGGGACCTTGGGACCTTGGCTGGAGCAGGACCTGCAGAAAGATTGGGTGTAGGGCAAAAGCCTGGATGGCAGTTCTGAGGAGCAGAGCAGGTGGAGGTGGTGGGGACGGACAGACAGAGCAGAGGCTTCTCCTGAAGCTAATGGGTCCAGCGAGCCCTGCCCAGGTGGGCTGGGCCTGACACTCGTCACCTGCCTGCAGTGCCCTGGCGGAACCTTCACACCATCCATGAAGTCCACCAAGGACTATCCTGACGAAGTCATCAACTTCATGCGCAGCCACCCACTCATGTACCAGGCCGTGTACCCTCTCCAGCGGAGGCCCCTGGTGGTCCGCACAGGTGCTCCTTACCGTCTCACCACTGTCGCCGTGGACCAGGTGGATGCAGCCGACGGGCGCTATGAGGTGCTTTTCCTGGGCACAGGTACCCACTGCTGCTCCCAGCCCCTCCCACACTGGGCCCGCTGGGTGGAGGGTGCTGATCCATGGGGCTGGGACCTGCCCTGCTGGGGGTTGCTACAGGCTTGTCAGGGTCAACTCTGCCACCTTCATCCTTTGGAGGCTTCTCCCTATTGCCAGGATAACTGACACTAGGGGCGGGGAAATTTTATTCCCATCCCCATCCTTGGGGAGTGGGAGAGCAGGGACACTGGGTGCCTGGGGACCCAGGTATGGTCAGGAAAGGGAGAACAGATGGCAGACACCTCCAGGATACATGGGTCCACATACTGACACACATGCTCTCGGGTGCACACTCGCCAGTACAGCCACCACAGTCCCAGTCAACATCAACACAGGGGAATACCTTCAGCGTCCTGTTCTCAGCAGTGCCCAAATGAGGTCTAGGGTAGGAGGGGCAGAGCCTGGCTGTGACCCCCGCTATCCTGGGCCAGTGCCCTCCAACCCCTTCCCCTCATCCAGGGGAAACTCTTCAACCTTGGCACAGAGCTCCTTCTCCACTGCCCTCCGGGGGGTTGGGGCCCTGGTGGGGGAAGGGGCTGAGGCTGGTGCCCCTTCCCCAGCATCCTCAGCCCCACTGAGGCCCTGCTCGGCCCGTTCCAGACCGCGGGACAGTGCAGAAGGTTATTGTGCTGCCCAAGGATGACCAGGAGATGGAAGAGCTCATGCTGGAGGAAGTGGAGGTCTTCAAGGTGGGTGTGACGCCATCCAGTCCTGTCCTCCTCACCCTGGCCCTCCTCAGTACCAGCTCCTGACCTCAGATCTCCAGGGCAGGGCAGGGAGAGGGTCCCAAGCTGACCCCTATCTTCTTCCAGGACCCAGCACCTGTTAAGACCATGACCATCTCTTCCAAGAGGGTGAGTTTTGGCGAGGTGGGCTGGGGGTAGCAATGTAGTCTGCTTCTCTTTGAGGTCATGCCCTTGGCACAAGGATGGGGAAACTGAGGCAGAGAACAGGAAGAGAAGGAGCCCAGCCCAACTGGCTCCTGATGAGGACTGGCTGTGGGGAGGGAACTGATAATCCTCTACCCCTGCCCCCAGCAACAACTGTATGTGGCCTCGGCCGTGGGTGTCACACACCTGAGCCTGCACCGCTGCCAGGCATATGGGGCTGCCTGTGCCGACTGCTGCCTCGCCCGGGACCCCTACTGTGCCTGGGATGGCCAGGCCTGTTCCCGCTATACAGCGTCCTCCAAGAGGTGAGGACCCCCAGATCCTTGGAATTTTAGCCACCAGATGTAGGGCCCTGTCCTGGGGGTTTGGAGGTGGAGGCGATATTATGCTGGGGGAGTCTATGGGCGAGACATCCTACCCTGGAGTCTTAGGGGTACAGGAACCTGGGGGCAAGCTCCCTTGGGAATACTCCTTCAGGAGCTTTCCTTATCCAGGCGGAGCCGCCGTCAGGACGTCCGGCATGGGAACCCCATCAGGCAGTGCCGTGGGTTCAACTCCAACGGTGAGTGTGCTGTGCCTCAGTGTAGAGCCCCGGGTGGCCCACCAAGCTGCTCCCAGGGCCCCCACTGGAAGGATTCTCCCATGGTCTGCAGGGATGAGGAGGCTTAATGTTTTGCAGTGGGATGTCCCTAGCTACCCCCTCAAGAAGTGGATGCCCGATGGCTCGGCCCTGCCTATATGAGTGGGTGTCCTGTATGTGCCCCTCAGCGCCTGCCCCTTGTCAGGCTGCAGTCTGCCCAGAGGCAATGCTGCTTTTCTTGTTCTACAGCCAACAGGAATGCCATGGAGTCTGTGCAGTACGGCGTGGCGGGCAGCGCGGCCTTCCTTGAGTGCCAGCCCCGCTCGCCCCAGGCCGCTGTTAAGTGGCTGTTCCAGCGAGAGCCCAGTGACCGGCGCCGTGAGGTGATTTCCTGTGCCCCACAGTCCTCACCGTGGATGCAGGAGTCCCTTGTACAGTAGAAATTCCACATGGGTGAAATGTGGTATAGGGGCCAGTCTGGGGCAGCCCTTATTCTAAGAAAGCCCTTCCAAGCTCCCGTCCCTACATGGAAATCATTTGGGTGAATCTAGTTATATGGAAACGCTGTAGTTTCCATGTTATATGGAAACCATTTATAGGCATGCCTCTTTGCATGAAAATTCCATATGTGTACTCCATTGGAAGTACACCTCATTGTATGGAAACGTCGTGGGTGAGTTCCAGTATATGGACATTCTGTGGGGTAGCCCTCATTTTATGGAAATGCTTTCCAGGCATTCCTCTTTACGTGAAACTTTATGAGGGTTCCCCAATTGAGTATTCTCATAAAATAGAAATTTCTGTGTGTATGCTCCAAAATTCTCTCATTGTACAGAATCCCCTTATGGTCATCCCTTCTGAAATGGAAATGTGTATGGATGCCTTATTCAGATATTATGTGGAAACTTCATGTAGGTTTTTCTTGGTATATGGAAGTTCCACATGGGTGCCCCTATGTGGATTGGCCACAAAGTGGTCTGATCTGGGAGCTGGCTGGGGCAGCAGGGTGGTAACACAGCCCCTGAGCCCCCACCCCCTGCCCCTGCAGATCCGTGCAGAGGACCGCTTCCTGCGCACAGAGCAGGGCTTGCTGCTTCGTGCCCTGCAGCTTGGGGACCGCGGCCTCTACTCCTGCACAGCCACTGAGAACAACTTCAAGCACGTCGTCACACGGGTGCAACTACATGTACTTGGCCGGGATGCTGTCCATGCTGCCCTCTTCCCACCGCCAGCCACGAGCGCCCTACCGCCTGAGGGCGCTGGTGTCCCCACACCCCCTTACCAGGAGCTGGCCCAGCTGCTGGCCCAGCCAGAAGTGGGCCTCATCCACCAGTACTGCCAGGGCTACTGGCGCCATGTGCCCCCCAGCCCCAGGGATGCCCCAGGGGCACCCAGGCCCCCTGAACCGCAAGACCAGAAAAAGCCCCGGAACCGCCGCCACCACCCACCGGACACATGAGGCCAGCTGTCTGAGCCCTGCCATGGGCCAGCCTAGCCCTTGTCCCTTTTAATATAAAAGATACATAT